AAAAAACTGGAAGGAACGGACACAAAAATAAAAATTCAGAAAATAAGACAGACAACCCTCTATTTCGCTCTCCTAACCTGACCCTAAAGGGACGTCCTACGTCGGTCAACTATTTATACCCTTAAGAAAACCGACCTTTAGAAATTTTAAGAACCGTAAATCGTGGGAGACTAAAGTTAGAGCAGATGTAGAAGAACAAGAAGGAGAAAGGAAGGAGAAGAAAAAAAAATATGAAGGGGATGGACACAAAAAATAGAAAAATGTACGGAAAACACTCTATTTCACTCCCCTAACCCAACCTTAAACCTTAAATTGACCTCCTACGTCGGTCAATTACTGTTTTACCCTTCAGACATCCCAAAAAGGCCAAAATAACGCGACTCTTCCATACATTATTTTGTTCTCTGACTCTGACCCATTTTGAATGGTATCTTCTTCCTTCCACAAAATCTTTGCACTTTTCTTCCTTCTGCACATTCTTTGCTCTCATCAGAACCCCTCTTCGATTTTGACAGTTTTTGTCTTCACCGGAATACTGAGGTCAGGTCATTGGTCCAATGGGAGAGTAACATAACCATGACCAATAAATAATATTGCAACTTATCCCATTGTCTTTACAGAATACCATTTTTATGTAATGGCAGCATGCTTTGCAAATTAAATGAATTCAAAAAGATGCGCAGTTTTTCTCATACAAACACACTGATCAAAGAATGCATATTTGATATTCCAAGCATGCATCAAAAGCTCACAATTCTTAGAGGCTTTTAGACTCTTGGAGCATCAGCTAGTCAGGTTAACTAACATAAACAGCGACATTTACTGTTCTGGTGCTGTGGGACCAAAATACAGAGGATTATATAGTCTTGAGCATGTATAAATTGGCTGGCCATAGACCATATATAGTCCTACTAACCTTAGCTTGGAATAAAAGGGATATGATGTCTCAACTATATATCTAACCAACATTCAAGTTGGTATAGTGAAGTGAGCAAGTATTTAAACAGGTAGATAGTGTACTGACTACACTTGTTCAGTTCCTTTGCTTTTACTTCTCTCAATCATAAAGTTACTTACTCTTATATTTTTGGATTAGTACTTGTACTTGTTTCCTCATTAAAACCTCAATCTATCAAATTCTGTCCTACTTAATTTTAATTAATGACTATCTAGAGTGGTTAAGATGACAATGAATTACAACAAACTTGATTATTGATATGTCTAACTAAACTCTTTGGTGTTCCAAGGAGTACCAATGATACCATGAATCAAATTGGATTTGAATATTCAATCAATGGAAAGACTACCGCGAAAGAGTTGCAGTAATGGATGATGGTCTACTATGTACCTGGGTCTGTTGCATTGTTAACATGTACTATTGAAGCACGTATATTTTGGCGAATACAGCATGTATCTAGAATATATCACTTTAATGACAACATTGATCAGTTTCAAGCAAGAGTGGATCAAGTTGTAAGCGAGTTTGCTGCAAGTCCCAATGGAGTGAGGGTGTCAGAGTCTCGAGCAACTTCAAAAGTGACTTAGCAAAAGTGTATCCTGAGAAGGTGTCTTTCAGACTTTCAGTAATCTGGATTGTTTGCTAGTTTTTAGTGATGGTCCTGATTATGGATTGAACTATAAAAAGGAAATACAATGAAAATCATTCAAAGTTGCCTCATTTTAACAAACAAGAAACCACCTTGACAGTTGACTAAAAGGCTCATTAGGACCAAATCCTGCTATCTAGAAACTCAAAAACTGATTAATAAAACAAGTTGAGCAAAAGAAAGCTTTGATATTACTCTTCTGGCTCTCTCAACATCATTAGTTAGATAGAATCAAGAACAAGAAGTAGTTATATGAATAAAAGAAAATAAACTGAAAAGGACAACTCTCCCTCCAAAATGCCCCCAACCCTATTTTGTGTTAAGAAATTCCTAATCTCACCAAACCCATTAAACTTAAACTTACATTTGAACATTTCTTTCTCTCTCTCTCTTTCTTCTTTACATCTTTCTCTTACACTATATCTTTCTTTGTTTTGTTCTTTCATTTCTTCATTGCACTTCATGCAGCCCCCTCGCCGAAAAACACCATTGTTTCTATCAGAATCTGCTTCGATGAAGTATGGTGGTAGTCGAAAGAATAACAATGTATCCATTATTGTTGTGGTGTTTTCTGTATTTCTTTTTGGTTGTTTCATATACAATGAAGATGTGAAATCAATAGCCGAGTTTCCATTTTCAAGACCTAAAGCTCAAGAACTTCAGCAAGAACTTTCTAAAACTAGAACAAAGAAAGAAGCTAAGTTAGAAAGTTCTGAAGAAACACAAAAGCCCGCCGATAATCTGAAGATGATTGTATCAAAAGAGATCGATATAGAGAAGATTGAATTACCTGTAGTGCAAGATGAAGAAGATGAGACAATAGAAGTGCCACCAGAAGATTGTGATCTTTTTACTGGACAATGGGTTTTTGATAATGTTTCATATCCCCTTTACAAGGAAGATGATTGTGAGTTCCTTACTGCACAGGTTACTTGCATGAGAAATGGTAGAAAGGATTCTCTTTATCAAAATTGGAGATGGCAGCCTAGAGACTGTAATATGCCCAAGTAAGCGATCAAGTTCCTCAAACTTTTTAGTCATTTTCTTTCATGAAATGACTAGTAGTTATTCAGATTGAAATCTTATTCTAGGCCTATTTTTTCGACATTTTTTGTGAAATCTATAGGCATTTATTTATTTTCTTCTGATATTAAGGTTTAGCGCGAAATTGTTGCTGGAAAAACTCAGAGGAAAAAGGCTAATGTTTGTCGGGGATTCATTGAATCGGAACCAGTGGGAATCCATGGTTTGT